AGACTATCGCTTACCTGCTTGTGCAACAGAGCGCGCGCAGAATTAACATTAATTCTGCCCAGGGCCTGCAGCTGAAGCAAGCAATTTTGCGCGCCTTCTGCAGCACAAGCAGGCAACCCAATAGTCTGGTGTTTACCTAAAGTTGTTTAGGTTCATCGTGTTCCCGTCGTTCATCTCTCCATCTGCCGCTTTTGTGATATGCCAGCCAATAATAATGCAAAACGAGCTGATCGTTGTCTTTGAGTCCTTTTCTGTCCATTTCTTTCTACCTCTTTTGAATGGCAGTCGCAGACAAAATCTGAGCCTTGCTATATAGCTCCTATACCTTCTTGATCAAGTTTGCGTGCAGGCGCTGGATGCATGCTGAGATGCATGCTTATGACAGAGATCGTAAGGACTTTTTTTTTAGTTCCCCGAAAAAGCAGAGGGAATGCTGGACACCTCCAGCAGAATGTGGCACGCGTTGGGTGCGGCACTGTTGTGGGTTAGTTTGCAAGTTTGGTCATGCATTTTACACTTTTTAACACAACTCACTGTTGGGAAGAGAGTTTTATTTGACATCAGTCTAGCGGTCAATGCCGGTGGCTTATAATGAAATTCTTGAAGACTTTTCCCACTACGGTTTTGATTTGCGCGGAAGCTTATCCATGTTTGATCGTAGCGAACGTGGTGTTCGCATAGTAATAGTGAGTTGTAAGCGCAAGTTGCTGTACATGCTTTTGATTTGTCCTTTTCAGTCCAAGCCTTGTTTACAGTTGTAGATTCCAGGTGTTTGGCTCCTTCCTTTTCTTTCGTGCGCTGCAGTACGTCGTACGATGGTACCTCTTTGGCAAATGCACCTTCCGGGCTTTCTCATACTTTGGAATTAGTGGCAGAAATCGAAATCATGACAGTAGTAGAGATTTAACGGTGAGTGAGAATCATGTTCCATTATGTGTTACAATGTTGTCAGTTTGAAGACCATTTTGGCCTTACAGTTCATGTGCGTCTAACAAGTTCATTGCAATTTGCGAAATTTTCTTTTGTCCGACATACATATAGGTAGTCATGAAATCCTAGCTCGTACAATCAGGCGGCTGGGTTCATGTACTGATCCGCAAGTTCCGGAACATCCAGCACAGCGATGGAATTGTGCGCTGTGCTGGAACTGTTCCGTAACTTATGGATCAGTATGAACACCCAGCCTTAGGTCATCCCGCCGAATAAAAAGTGGCGAATATCAAACGAAGCCGTATCGCTAATTCACTCCGTAGTAAGTGGATTGTGGGCCGCATATGCCTTGCTGTTCTACCAACGTCTATTCGACGATCTCGTGAATTACCGATGTCAGGTCGCGGTAGACTTGGTAAGTTTCAGTCAACCTCTAGTGTCACAGTTGTGATAATAGATTCTCGTCATGTTAATTGCAGATATACGTTTCATTCGGTTACCTATTGCACGATTTTTTTGATCTCATCTTGAATGAGCAGTCTGCTCGAATAATCGAATTACTATTTCATCATGTTGTCGTCATTACGGGATTCGTCGTTACTTTGGTATGTACTGCAGCTGATAGTTCTCAGTATATCTTCCACATCCTTTTCAGGTTACCGAAAAATATCTCGGAATAGTAATATTTGGGCTTTTGATGGAACTCAATTCTATCTTTCTGCACACTAGGAGCCTTATGAATTTGTGGGTTATTCAGCTTGTTCGTAGAAAAAACTAATATTTTTACTAGCTTTCCCAACCTTCGTCAATTCATTTACTTTTGGGTCAAAGGAGAATTCAGTTTAAAAAAAATGAGTGGGTTGGAAAGGAATGCTTTACGTGAGAAATAGTGTCTGCACTTCGGTGAGGAGTGCAGAGATATCAATGAAAACCTCGAAGTTTCATCAATTTTTTTTT